GGCTCTCCCCCTACCCGGGCTCGCCTAGGCGGGCTGCCAATACCGTCGCAAGTATCTGGCAGCACGTTTGGCCACTCTAGCACCCAGATCGGAACCAAAAGCAAAGAATTCATGCATTCGGCAGGAAAGATGGGCAAAGGGTTGCTTAGCAAGGGGCGGAGCAAATTGCGTGGGACTGGGGACAAGGTATTTCACTAAGTGCAGTTTTTCCTTCTTCCCTCGACCAACGGTGTTTACACGGGCAGCACCTTCATTCGTTACATTGCATTTGATTCTCAGTTTATTATTATGTGGACGGGGCAGTAGACTGGGTTCTGGGTTTTCTGGTAATCTAACCTGTATTGTCAAGCGGGCAAATTGCACGAGGCTGCTGCGAGTCGTTCTGATATTATTGTCAACGTTTTGAATGAAGAGACGGATTGCATGAGATAGGAATGACACGCCGCACGTTTCCCCTCTACTTGCTCATTTGTTTATTTATTTATTTATATTTATTTATCTATTTATTCTTTCTTTTACGCTTTGTTACTGTTAATTTTCCCAAGCTCAGATCATATATTAGTCACTTCACAAATTTATAATGCTATTTCAAAGACCAGTTATTAATGTTTCTTCTTGCTGAATAGGACGAATATCTCTCTGAGTCCGAAGCTGAACAAGGCAGGACCAAATCCAAGTCCAAGACCAAGGCCAAGGCTGATCGGCGATCGTCGTGGGGCCTGATGCTTGGGTCAAAACCGCGTCCTGAAGAAGCCGCCCCACAAGCATATGCCAACGCCGCTAACTCGAGCAATTCCCATCTGCGTGTCACGCAACAACGCGCTGCCCCAGATGCCGCATCATCGTCAATGGCACCTCAGATCCCTCCAGTCGCCCTTGCGGCGCCGTTGTCACCGCTCAATCCGGCGGCGCACTCGGAATATATTCCGGAGTGGAGAAGCGCGGCGCTTGATTCTGCAACGACCCAGCCGGTCCCGCCCGCTCAGGCACAATCCAGCCATCCGTCGCGGGCCACTGTTGGGTTGAGCAAATTAGAAATCCCAAAGTTGCCGTCATTGACGACCAACGGGGCTACGACTGCTCCCGCTTTGTCATTGGAAAAGACCAGACACGACCGGCCGGCTGGGGGTGATGCGCGAACCGCTGCCACGGAACGCGCTGGTCAGCAGTGGGCCATGATCTCTCGTGACCATGTCCATCAGCAAATTCACCAACCCCCAAATTCTCATCAATCGCAGGGATCGCGTGCCGCTTCTGGCATTGAACAAAGCAGTAATAGACCGGCCTCGCCAGAGCGCGAGGGGGAACCCAAGCGATCGTCTTCTTTTATTGGGCTGCCGCCTATAAGACGCAGCTCGACATTTGGTCTCACTCCCAAATCTAAAGCTCGAAGAGCTACTGATCGGTTCCCAATCGATGACGATGATGATGGTGATGATGATCCGTCAAGCCATGCGTCGATTGCTGATGCTCCAGCTAATCCTTCGCATGAACAACCTCAACCGCCGCTGGCCACAGGGACTGCACCTCAACTTACTAATGATCACCCTGCCGATGCCATCGCAGCTCCTTCCCAACCTATCCAAGATGAGAAAGCCGGTATGAACATACATCATTCAGAAACGGGGCTTGATGGTCCTCATGCAGATGCGGCAAGATATCCTCCCCAGCTTCAAGCACCGCTTGCCATGGCCCCCAAACAGCAACCCCAAATCAGAACTGAAACACCACGCACTCAAAGTCCTCAAAGCTCTCGGCCGTTGATCCATCCTACTCACAGGGTACCGTTCTCCGGTCAATGGAAATTAGAGGAAAGCCGATTGTCTGAGCCTCTAAATCCCGTCTCAAAGAATCGACCTGGAACCGCTGGTTCTCAGCAACAAATCATGTATGGCTTTGACAAAGAGACCGGAATATCATTTCCAGACTTCGCCCTGCCGCGCCCCGGGCAAGAGCAGACTCATCAACCTCCGCAGCATCCTATTCCAAACCTAATGGCAACGCCTCCTCCCCGCCAGCGTTCTGATGTACCGCCATCGTCAGCACAGAGATGGCCTGAGCTGTTCGCCTATCCTCCAGACCAACGTCCTGGTTCAAACTTTCGCAACAATGGACAGCCATACCAGCCACTCCATCAAAAAACCATGGCTCGTGGTGACTTCGTGATGCCCAGAACCCCAGCCGGTGAGTTTGCCATTCCTGGAGTTGGTCCTCCCGACGAAGACCGCGGTCGGAAGCACAGAAACTCTGGCCTGTTCAAGGACTTGGGCCAACGATTCGCCAGAGCCGCATCCAGGGAGCGTCGAAGCTCCATTGACCAGCGGTCAGCAGCTAATGATCTCCGTGGAGACGGAGCATCAGATTCGAGCATTGGCACCGGTGAACTGCCGGAGCAAGGCAGGCGGCGACCAAGCTTTCTATTCGGCCGTTCTGGTCGCGCATCTATAGAACCTGGCCCAAGGCAACATGTTTGGACTGGACAAGAACCACCATCCCAGGAGGATCAGCCTCCTAGCACTCCACCCCCAGGAAGTAAGAGACGGTCATTGCTTGCGGGAGGTCGTGGTGGCAAGCTAGGCCCAAGCAGATTATCAAAGTCGCCCTCGTCCAACTTGGAGCAAGTCCAAGGTACCAGCCCGACTACCCAACCAGCAGAAGGCCTCAACGACACTACCCCACAGAAAAGGAGGTTTTCCGGCATGTCAAAGGTTTCAAACTTGCTCAGTCGGAACAAACATGAGGACAAGCCGAGTATTCCTGAGCCGCAGCCAGAGGTTGAGTCTCTAGAACCTCCCGTGCCAGCATTCAAACTTTTAGGGCGGCCCAGCACCGCTAGTTCTGCAGTTAGTTCTCAAGAGCGCAGGGCTGATGAGAGTCCTAATCGCCGTGGACGACGGCCATCCATGTCCGGTTTGATATCTGGGATTCTTGGGAAGCGCTCAGCGTCCAAGGCTGGGGACCTTGATAAGCCTATGGATTCACAAGTTTTATCCCAGCATCAAATGAGCACGCAGCCTCAAAGTACGGACGTCCAAGGGCAGAGAATAGCGCAGCCCGAGCAGCATGAACGACGATATCCGTACAGCCCTGATCAGGTCAACATGCCGCCTCGGCACGTGGATGCACCGGGCCTCCCCAAAACCGACGACCCCCAGACACAACTCTCTCCTGTTGGAAATCAAGCTCATATACGGCCTCCATCTCCGTGGGGTCTCCAACCGTCTAGGAGCCCCCAATCTATACCATTTGAACAGCGGCAATCGCCTGCTGCTGACCACCCTAAATCTCGGCCTCCAAGTGTGGGCAACGGCCAAACACCAAAAGTTTCTGGAAACGACCAACCCCAAATACACAACTCTCCTGTTGCTGCTGGGCAGCATTCCTCTGTGCCAACTCCGCAACCTGGTTATCAACAACCTGTGGGCTTCATGGGGCAAAGAGACGGGATGCAGCCTCCTGCTAATCCCTCAATCCGATTTGTGGAGCCGTCTCAACCGTCTCCTTTAGGCCTGGTTCCTCGAAATTTACACGAGCAGATCGAACCAGATTCAGCTTCTGCTGTGCAGTCCGGCCAACCGATTGATGGAGAAAATCCTATTGAGAAACATGAAGAACTACGGGCGCCAATTCCGGTTGGCAGATTAGCCGAAACGCCGCAAGCTGTCTCTGGAGAACTGCACCCTCAGCCTGACCGTGAAGCCCACAGTAGCGGCCCTGCTGATGGAGAGATTACTCGAACATCTACCATCTCACCTGACCTTTCCATAACATCAGACTGGAAGGCTGCAGAGCGTCACGAAGATACGCATCTCAGTGAAGCTCGCAAGAATGGCTCTATCGATCTTTCGGATGAGCGCGATTTCACTGTTGTAAGGCAAAGCAAGCAACCAGCTTTGGACGAGATATCGCAACGTAGGCCGCTAGGGAGCACCGGTCCCGTTGAGAAAACTGTACCTATGGCGCCCGTCGTACAGCAGACTGTGGCGTCGCCGCAATCTAGCTCTCAGCAGTCGCAAACTGCTAGAGAGCCAACTATCTCAGGGGAATCGCTAAAACTCTATGTTTCGCAAGGTCCTGACAAGGAAAATGGTCAGTCTCCACCACAAGACACGAGGACTGAACAGCTCCACGGTCTTGGGCTGCAGATGCCGCATCCCGCACAACAGGCCAGACCACAGTATTCCCAATACCCCGTCCAGGTCCAGCAATTACAGCAGATACAACCTGGTCAACAGCAGCCTCAGCAGATGCAGCAGTCATACTCGGGAATGCCCCCCCAAGCTATCAGACCAACGGGTGCTCTAGGTCCTACGAATCATCAATACACCGTCCAAAGAGACCCTAGGTTCCATTCTCCGCAGCCCCAGCAGACGCAAGTTCCACAAAAGGAAAGCTCAGGATCCAGATGGAAAGGCCTGACGAAGCGTATGTCAGAGCAAATGTCGCAGCTTGGACACCAGAACACTACCCAGGAGAAACCAGAGAAAACTGAAAGATCCACCGGAAACAAGCTACTCGGAGCCTTCAAGAGGAACTCGAAGCAAAGTGATACTCAGCAGCCCAGACGAACTCACATGGGCGCGACAAATCACCCAACAGGTCAATGGCAAAATGCACAGCAGCAACCATATCAACAGTACCAGGGCCAACAAGGTATTGTGAATATCAAACAGCCTGGCCAGCACCAACCCTTGAGCCCAAGTAACATTGTCATGCCTCCTAGCCAGACACAAGTCTTTCATGCACCTTCACCAATGGCTGTCACACCAGGTCACCAAGTGCCACGTGAGAATCCGACTCAACAATCTCGGCCGCACCCTGAGCCTGAACCTCAATACGATTATGTACCTATTCCGCAGGCGTATACAGCAGTTCATGGAGAGGGTATGGTCCTTCCTACAGCTTACAACGTAGGGCGACAGTTTTCTCAGATGAATTTGATACAGATGCAGCAACAGTTCGGGCAAAACACGCCTGGCATGCCACAAGAGCCGCAGTCACGCCAACAGCTCAAACAGGCGGCTTCACCTCTTACCTCTCAATATTCGTTTCCTCGCCAAGATTCGGAGTCTTCTTTTGGAATAGTTCAGTCGCCCTCCGCTCCATCTGTGCCCTCTCCTGATGGAGAACCAAGAAGTCCTAGATTGGATAATTTGAGGAGTAACGCTGCTAGCATCACGCCACCAGTACACTTAAGAGATTCGCCAGTAGGAACAGCACCGCAGAACCAGGAGGGGGATCCGCCTCAGCCGCAACTTAGTAACACACGTCTTAGTACGCCACATGACAACAGTAACATAGTCAGCCACTCACCATCGGATACCGGGTCAGTATCGCAGCAGTCCAAGTCCCCCACCCCACAAGTCGAGTCGGTAATACGAACTGAGCCTACACCCGAGACGGAGGACAAGGCTGCGATTTGTACAGCCAATAACAATGACCACGGTGTTGACGTAGCCAAGGCCAAGCAGCACCATGACGATGATATATACGATGCCACGCCAAGACTGACTAAAGATGACAAAGATGAAGAATCCAAAGATCACGGAATAAGTCGAAAGTTGTCTGAAGGCAGTCTAGCAGAGAAGTCTAAAAGCAAGGAAGTCCCAAAGACGATCAGTCCATTCACCGCCGAGTTGGAAGATACAGCGCGTGCCCACGAGCGTCGAGCCCGACTAGCATCTCAGGAAGAAAAGATTTGGCTCGACCCCCAGGACGATCCTAATTATCAGCCGCAAATGAGCGCAACGAGCTATCCAGGTCAAGAATGGAATCCGTACGGTGACCCTGACTTTCTCGAGGACTAGTGCCGAGGGGTAGGGGGTCTGCTGTCTGCACAGGACGGCGGGAGATGGAGACATCTATGTGTAAATATGGTGATGTAATTTGAGATGAAAAATTGCTTATACTGTCTGCATTTTGTTTCATATTGTCTTCTATTACAGATATTTCATTTAGCGTAGCGACGACTATACCAAATTGGAGTTTCCTATTCAAGCGATCTAAAACAAATCCTGTCCTGATGTTTGGCACTTGATGCCTTGTGCGAAACCGCGTAAGTTTGGTGGGAAGCAAGAACAATGTACTCCAGCCGAGGTATCCCCCCCTTCAATGCAGTCCGTTTTTCAATTTCCATATGCTCTTGCTCGCTTGCCAATAGACGACTCATGCCGCTTCAGACTGGCTTTGCGGACGATGTCGTACATGTCACGTAGCGTGTCTGTTGCCGAGGCCTGAGATAGTATCCTGGGTTCAGATACAACTTGTGCTAGACTCAAACTCATTTCTTGAAGCACAGAGCTTCGCTGACTACTGAGGACGTTTATCGACTCTGCTCGAGTTTTGTCCCTGTCTGTGCGCGGAACACGGGGGGCAAGATGTCGAGGCAGCTCGAGTGGATGAAACTCGCAGCTGCGGAGTACATTGTGATGAAATGCAGTGGGAGGCAAGAAGTAATTGACCGCATTATTTACCTGGCTCTCACGCTATATACTATAATATAGTATATATTTCTTGATGGGCAAGTATGTTTTGCCATGGACGTGTAAGGAGACAAGACAATTTGCAATACTGGCCAAGCTGTTGCTATTGCTGGATACCAACAGGAATCAGACTCTCCATCTTGTGGGAGATTCGTATTTATTTTACTTGTAGGCAGTATCTAGGGTTGGCTTGTGAAGACTAGCCAGCAAGAAGCAGCGGTAGTAAGTTTGCCATGCTAGGAACTCGGCCTGTTGCTAAGGTGGTGCTTATTTTAGACAAAGCCTGTAGTTGTAATAAAGAAGCCATGGATTCTGCTCAAAAGGATCTTGTTACAATCGCGGTAGCACAATTCTTGGTACTTTTGGAAATGGAGACTGGGATGTTGGTGTTGTAGGATCAGACTGTGATGGACATGATAGGTATCGTGCAACGCTAGACGTGGAGCTTGCACGGAGTGAGAGAATTGCGCGAATTACTGTGTATCCGGTGATGACATTGAATTACATCTGCTTGAAACGTTCCATCGAATATCTTACCACTCAAGTCCATACCTTAGCGATATCTCATCAAGTGTGGTTACACGCTCAGTGGCGAGGGTTGCAAAAGGAATATCTGTGTCTCGATATCACCAGCACGAACCCACTTTTGTTGAGCGACTTGTCTCGGAACCAATACGGGCCATGACTGAGTAAGATGCGGATTTTCATCAGTCTCAAAATCAATATATATATTGCCATTGATCCCCCTGCGTCCTCGAAAATGAATTCAGACTCAACCCCTTCAGCAAAATACATTCCCATCATTCAATCCCACAATCTCAAACAACCGCCACAATGGTTTCCTTCAAAATTGTCGTGTCTTCTATCGCACTTTCTTCCGCGGTACTCGCAGCGCCGCCCCAGGCAAACTACACCAACCTCTGCTACAGCGACATCACCAACATTGACCACCACGTCAAAGAACTGACGGAAAAGGCTAAAAGCTTCAACGGCGGTCTCTTCTGGGCTCTGCCCCAGGTCCCACTTGCTCTGGAAGTAGCGGTGGCTACAGCCAGCGCAGGGCTGCACTCCGCCTTTCTTGCCCGTCCTCTCCCGGTGGCCGATCTGCTGCGTCTTGTTGACCATGTGAACAAGACGCTGGCGGTGGACGGTCCCCTCGTTTTGGAGACGTTTATTTCAAAGGAGTCTGTGTATGAGCAGACCGGGTTGAAGGCTCCTATTCACCTGGGGTTGAAAGTGTACCTGGTTCTGTATCAGCGGTTTGTGGAAAACATTCTGGATCGGGTGCCTGCTGATGCTCCAAAGGACAGGGTGGAGATTTTGAAGAGAGATATCCAGGTAATTACTGATTCTTTGCAGAAGACCATCAAGGTATACGAATAGGTGGTGGTTGAGATTTCGTGGTGGGGGGTTCTGAACCCTACAGGACCGAAGTACAAGACATTATCGGCTTGAGTAGCTGGGTATATTTTCCCATTTGCTGTTTTTCTATTTGAAAAAAAAAAAAAAAGAAAAAGAACATAACTTGTATGTCTTTGTATTCAGAATAAGGTTAAGATTTGTTGCTATATACTTATATTTGAGGGTTAACTCCATATCCATGACCATCTTGGGGCGAAAATGTTACCGAAGATTGAAGCGGAAGCTGTATGTATTGTGATGTATCGCAGGCACGTACAGGTCATAATTACTTGATAGGTATGATTGACCGGCCTGCTTTGCCCAACACGCATCAAGGTAGGATATAGAAAGAAAGAATGTTGCCTACGCTGGGCACCCACAAAAAAAAAGTACAAGACCAGCAAAAATAGCTAAAGTCCAGGTATCTCAGGGCAATCATCCCCATCGCTTGTTATGATAAGTGGTGCGGACGGTGAATACGAAAGTGGACACACACTTTCTAAAGCCAGAAGCTCCATAGTAACCACGCAAATACTAGCCGAACGAAGAAGGTGTAAGTGCATTTCCCGGTAGACGTCTTGGAAGACGAGCTGTAATACCGAGTAGACCCCTACCTAACGCTACAATACAGACCGAGTGGTAGCCCCGGCTTCAAGGAAAACGCAAACAAACCTCTTCGAATACTGCAGACGAGGGCTCCATTCCTCGATTGACAGATAGATTAAAGGGCCGCTACACTTATTTTGTTGAATCCTCAGTTGCTAGTCGTGCTTCTCTCTTTTTACAGGTTCGCACACGAAGCTTAAATATATTATTAAATTTATTAAGAATATCAAAAAAAGGTGCTAAATGTAGGGCACCTAATAACACTGTAATTTGGCCGTACCTAGGTCAAAGAACCGTAACCTACGCAAGTAAATATATTATAATATAGTAACCATGTACACTTACTCCTATGTACAGCCGTTCCATGATAGGTACAAATCATCAGTAATACGTAATGCGAATGCATCAATCTACCAAACTCGTAAACCTACTTGAAGAGGTAGCTGTTGGCTTCTTAGAGTCCCTGATGCAGTAGGCGTTGGCTAGCCTACAAAAGGCAGGTCCCTAAGCAGCAACTAACCAAGAGCCAACCACATGGTTAGACTAATTTCAACGACCGATGGCGAAAGAAATAGCTGCGTACACGGGCCGCTATAAACCGTAACTTTATCTACTTAGTTAGATAGCTACTGTCGACAACTGCTTTTTCAAGCTGGTATGGAATTGCGAAAGAGTGCGCTTTCTCAAGTCGGTTGCCTAATGGTGCGCCGATCTGTTCGTGATCGAACTTGGCGTTTAGGCCAAAAAAGGAAAGAGGTTAATACAACAAGAAGCTACAAGTGATAACAGTCACAAAAGCCACTAAATCCGGCTGAAGAAAGAGTGGGGGACGGTACCTCAATACTATGTATATTTATATTATTTTTTCGTTGGTATATGATCCGTCTTTACTATGAGGAAGAAATTCTCCGTACTCTCCCCTTGGTCGTGGGGGTTGAGCATCCTGGTTCATCGGGTTGAATTAACGTTATAAGAACCTTAATAGCGTCAGCGAGGAGAATACTGCGGTAATCCCGGCATGTGAGTTCCCGCTACTCCGCACGTCCAATGGCAGTACCGCTTTGCGTGTAAGCTCCCATCAGCTACATCTGGTACTACGCCCGAGCGCGCATGCTCGAGCGGCGACCATCTGCGTAGGGTGGCCCAGAAGAGGTAGGCGCCGGTGCTTGGGCCGCGTCTCGAGAACTAGACTGTCTATTTCGTCAGGAAAGATAAGATCTAAATGGAATATGCCGTGCCAAGGGCCCCATGGGACGTGCGAAGGGCACCGGATGATCACGAGTTTGTTGCAATACCTGCCTTATTCGGGTTTCGGTTTCAACGCGACATCCAGATCAAAGGTCGCTGTCGTCCAGCTTACACGGGTCATAAATACTGACGTCGTCCTTCACAAAATGCCGTCAATCTGGCTACTCAACCAGCAAAATAGCCTTCATACTTATTTACTTGGCTATTTTCTGCAATTGGAATCATGTTGTTCAAGTCTATTATTGCCGGTGCGTCGGCTCTTGTCAGCCTGTCTGCTGCTGCTCCTGTAGACAGCCGCGCCTCCTCCAATGTTATTGAAGGAAGCTACATCGTCAAGCTCAAGGACAATGTTGCTGCCGACGAGCACATCTCCTGGGTCAGCGGTATCCACGCCAGGCGCAACGTTAATGACGACTTTGCTGGCATCCAGCACGAGTATAATAGCCCGGCGTTCCGTGGCTACGCTGGCCACTTTGATCAGCAGACAATAGAGGAGATCAAGAGCAGCTCCGAGGCACGTTAGCGGTCATGCATCAGGAATAGTCGCAGCGAGTGCTAACTTCAGATGCTACAGGTTGCCTACGTTGAGGCCGATCAAATCTGGACTCTTGAAGAGAGTGCGGTAAAGAGGGACCTCACGACTCAGGAGAGCGCGCCCTGGGGCCTTGCCGCCATTTCTCACCGTGAGGCAAATGCTGCTGGATATATCCACGACACTGCAGCTGGCGCAGGCACCTTTGGCTACGTTGTTGACAGCGGCGTACGAACTACTCACCAGGAGTTTGAGGGCCGGGCATCAACTGGCTGGACCGGCTACCCCGGCGACGAGAGCGACACCCTCGGCCACGGAACTCACGTCGCCGGTACTGTTGGCGGCAAGACCTTCGGTGTCGCCAAGAAGGCTACTATCATTTCCGTCAAGGTCTTCCAGGGCAAAGAAGGATCCACCAGTATTGTTCTGGCTGGGTTCGACTGGGCTGTCAACGACATTATTTCAAAGGGGCGTCGGGACAAGTCTGCCATCAACCTCTCGCTCGCCGGTCCATACTCCAGGGCTTGGAACGAGGCCGTCCGGACTGCCTTCACCAAGGGCGTTCTGAGCATTGTTGCCGCGGGCAACGCCCAGGCTGACGCCGGAAACTACTCGCCTGCCTCTGCACCCAATGCTGTCACCGTCGGCGCCGTGAACCAGAACTGGGGAATCGTCACGGACTGGCCCGTTGGCCAAGGCTCCAACTACGGCACCGTCCTGGACATCTTTGCCCCAGGCGACAATATTCTGTCTGCGGGATTCAACAGCGACTCTGAGTCCAGGTTTGACTCTGGTACCTCGATGGCCGCGCCCCATGTTACCGGCCTGGCTCTCTACGCCATATCTGTAGACGGCGTCCGAGGCGCCAAGGCTGTCACTGACCATCTCATCAAGAACTCTGGCAAGGGCGTCGTTACAGGACCCTTGCGCGGTTCCCCAAATCGCTTTGCAAATAACGGCAATCCCAGTCAATAAATCTATTGTACGAAAGAGCTCCATTCGGATAGATGGCGCTGTTCAAATACCTTGGAAACTGCTATTGCGAGAATTGTGGCTCAAGTTACGAATCAAGATTACAACATGACATATGCAGTGTTTCGATAAGACATGTGCCTCTGTTTAATGGGTCTCTACAGCTGGGCTTATCTATTCTGTTGATCAGTGATGGAAATGAACAGCACAATATGTTATTTCAAAATTTATAGCATAGAAGGTTCCACTAACTCCTTAAGATGGAACTGAATGACTTTTTTTTCTGCTAGATTATGCTCCGGCTACTCTGTACGTCGTGCTGTGCCCGTGGAAGACAGTGTCGAGACGGAGTACTTCCCGCCTTTTGTGAAGATCCGCTCCGTAGACTAGCAAAACAAGAGGATAATATTTGTTTCTGGTATTTTGCTTTCATAGCTCGGAATTGACCAGGACAGTAGCTTACCGCACTTTACGGGTTATAATTCCAGGGCATAATAAGGGCTCTACGCGCAGACCTCGCTAATATATGTTTTTGTCTATGTTTACGCGTGAGTCACCGGCATAGACTGTATTTTGCTCGCGTAGTTAGTGGCTGAGGCTATCTCAAGGTAGATTCTACCGGTACGCGCGTTAATATATTTTGAAACGTTTTAAGCTATCATCTTTTATAGCGCTCCTTCGATTGTACCTCAGCGTGTGCGCGATAGCTTTCAATGGCGCCGAACCTCAGACAGCATTACCAGAGCCGCGAGTCCTGTAGCCAAGGCTGTGGGTATCGAAGATCCTCTCTTGAGGCTGTCATTCCTTCTTTCTCTCACTTCGTACCCGGGAAGGACATGGTCGAGTCGTGAGAAGCTTCCTGCGCCATCCACTCCTTTATTGGTAGGAGCTGCCACCCCAATCTTGAATATTTGGCTGGATAACGTCTCGCATCCTACAGGATAGTAGGTCTTCAACTGCTCCTAGGTAAGCTTCGTCGGGCGCAGAGCAGATCAGAAGAGCTCCTCAGGGCTTTCTCTAATCTTTGACGTCATAACTTTTCGCCGGGTCTTCAAGCTAGACTTAATTGTCCACGACATGGATACAATATTAAAGCCTTGAGTGGCGCAATACTCGACTGCCCATGTCTGGTGTCAGCACATCCCTTCAGGAAATGCTGGAGGTATGACTTTAGGAGCTAACATCAGCTGCACCCTTCGCCGAAAAATGCCACTTAGTACCCTCCCCCGGATACGCATTCAACCGACAGACAAAGATTTTCGCGTTTGGACAAGCACGACAGATCAACTTGGCCATGAGAGTCCCATGGCCGGTGCTGGACTCGTGGAACCGTCGTCTGGCCCCAGGAAGGTCCACTCCATCATAGCCATCGTCGAAGCTCCAGCCATCTTGAATTTTGCCTTGGAGACTTTCATGGCCGAACTCTACCCCGTCATCAATTAGGGCAATTTTTACATCAGTCTGGAGTCTTCAAGGCAAGGAATCGAGCAGTTCATCGCATTCCGGCTTGATCTTGTATATTCTGTCAGCAAACCTGTCCATTGTACTAAGCCATCTATGGGTTTCCTGCCGGGCTGTAGGGTCTGTCCTGGTACTTAAACCGGGTGATGGGTCAGAAGTTGAATCTATGGCCTTGATTGGATCCGGCACATGAATTTGCGGCGGTTTATCAGAAGCTTCCCCGTCATTTTGCTGGGCTTACCTTAGGCACTTGAGCCTTGTTCGAAATGTTGCCATGTTTTGGTCCGTCCATGCGTCAAATTCTAATTCCCGCAGCACGCGTTAGTATCATTCCATCTCACTTGGGTGCGTTCGATCAGCGTTACGAGGAGGAAACTTGCCTGAGCTCGGTAAATTTGGATGAATTTTAACCGTTTTAATTGGACTAAGCTTTCGGACCCAGCTCTCAGTATTCCGGTGAATCTCGCGCACATTTGAGCAAGCCTCGTAGATTGTCTCTGGGCAGAGATCAATCTTTCTCCAGTCTAGTATCTCGATATCACACTTTTCTAAAGCAACTTGTACATGGTCGCCGCTCGAGCACGCGCGCTCGGGCGTATATCGACTCGTTCATCTTTGTGGGAAGGCAACACCGTATCGTATACAATGACCTTCATAATATTCCTCACTCCTCTACTATGAAGCCAACGGAACGGTGTCTCCAAATCTTTCCGTCCTTTTCCGGTGGTGGCAGGCGACTTAGTCGCCACTCCATGTGCTCTGGGGGGGTTGTTCTGGCAAGGCGAACTCGACACGGCGGAACACGACGTACTGCAACACTTGGCCAAACCTGAATCCATCATATGTTGTCATGAATTTTCCAGCAGCAATCTTGGGAGGACCATCACGAAAATCGAAGCGTATGTGACATTCTAGTAATCGTTTTATATCAGCATTCTAGTGTAACGAGCGAAGGGATTGTCGAAGAAATTGACAAGAGCGTGCGTAGTTTCCATACAGAAACCTGACTGCTCTGTCATAATTCCTCAGATCCTGTCTTTAATCGTATTTTAGGAATAGACCTCGCTCTTGCGCCCGTAAGAAGTTGTACTCGATCGCCCGTTGCGCTCAAATCAAAAGAATTGCCCGTGATAAGCCGTGCTTCGCTAGAATACAGCCAGGTCTCGACACCACCATGGAGGTGGATGCCCACAGTTTCGAAAATACAACAGCAGATCGAATAACTTACGAGGAGTATCTCCCTTCATTTCGTATCCAGCTCCGTGAGCAAGGAGATTCTGAGGCAAACTTGCGTACTGAGAATGACCCAGATGATCCGAATCAGCGCTCGAATGTTATTCAACGCAGAGGAATATTCTACGCAGACTGTTTTTGCAAAGATGTTGTTCATGGTTACTATTCAGCCGATAATGACATTCTCTGCAATGTTATTATTCTCAAATTTCGCTTCGAGCCCCGCAAAAATAATCACGCAGTAGAAGGTGGGCATTCATGTGGTCTTCTCAGCAAAGGACAACGGAGACCCTGAGCCAACTGTTGACAGCTTATACCCGGAAGACCTCCTCAGTGTTCAGCCAATATCACTGCACGAAACAGTGAGCAAGTCGGGAGGAGGAAAGATTTGTGCAATTTCGGCAGGCTTGGAGATCGCAGCAGAATTCAAACGTGACAAGAGGGTCGGATTTATGGCAAGCCCAACAGTGTGTCGTGGGAGTTAAGGGAGAACAAAAACGACGGGACTGGAGTTCCCACGAGCATGGAAGCTGTCGCCTTGCTGGCAAAGACATGTCCAAGTTGCAGACGCACTTCGCAACGTAGGTCTTTTCAAATTGGCTAGCTGGGGCTGTCTATCTTGAAATACGACCCTTTTCGCGATCCGTTTACTTTCGATCCCTGCAGAGTCCCGACAAGGCATTTACAATTCTTTGATATTAATGAGTTTAGAAATTGAAACCAGAACGCTTGTCTGACGTTACTGTCACGACCGTTATCAACAAGCTCAAGGAGATAAAAAAAAGAGAGGGGGAGAGAGAGAGAGAGAGATGAGACGGAAAGGGGGTAAGCTGTTGCGCAAACTTGCGACGGAATTGGACAATGACGTCCAGTACCATGGACTTTGTACTTTCGGTATATTCCTCTACAACTAATATATTGGTTGTACAAGTGGTCACAGCTCACGCGAGTGACAAAGAAACACCAGAGCCAACACCGCACACTAGTAAAAAACGACATGTCATAAGGACTCGGTAGATAAAAACCATCAATGGGGAAACTAGAGGCATGATGAAATGGCCCACGGCGCATCCGCGCTAATTTTTGTAATATCAGGCTGAGGCTAGACCCTCACCTCACTTCGACTATTCCAAAGTGCTCTACAGCTTGGCGCTCCGAGTGTGTTGTGCTGTACGATGGCTCGTTTAACATTAACTGTGTCACAAAAGTAAAGACTCCCAGGCTTATTTTTTGACAAAAAAAAAACAAAAAAAAAAAAAAAAAATGCGATGTAAAAAAAATAGGATCGAAAAAGAAGAAAA